TCTATACCTGGTTCTCTTCGGAGTTCCTAACGTTGTACTATACCTGACCTGGTGGAGATAGGTCAAACGTTGGATTCGGTAGGGTTTATGCCACCTAGACTGCTCAACCTCAGTTGTTGGAGATCTCCCAGTTGTATATGCGTGACGACGCATTAAATATTAAGTTGTATATTGTTGTTGTTGTTGTTATATTAAAGTTGCTTCTAAGTTGTATGAATGAGTTGGGTTTTTATGTTGAATTGTATAGTTGTTTGTGGTGATGATTGTTATACATTTATTGCATGATTGTTAATATGATGAAATGTGTGGTGTCTTGCTTCATGATTGATTTTGAACTCTAGCTTACCCTCTTGTTTCCATGTGGATGGACTACGATGATCATACTTTGTAAGGGAGCAGGTCAGGGCTAGCTTGGAGTTGATGTGACCGCTGCGAGACGGGGAGTTTTGATCCTCGTGTTAGAGTTATCACCTTGGGTAGCCGTTTGTGCTTGACCGGCACTAGGAGATAGTATTTTTGGATAACTGTATAAATACCTAATACTTAAAAATTTAATGATTCATATATATTTTTCATGTTTATGTATTTATAAGCTATCCAACTTTATTATTTATCTTAGTTCACTATTTTTAGTGCGATTCCACTAAGTGTAGGGACTACGGTGGGTCGTTACATAGTTGATCCTTTAACTTTAAACCCTGAAAAAATATTATTTATAAAACATTGTGAGTTATTTATAAATATCAAGGGGAATGTAATTTTATTAAAGTCACATGAGACAAAATAGTGATGATAACTTAACATTTGTAATCGAAGACGATTCAATGAAAAAAATAAATCACTTATTAATTTTGTTGAAAATTAATTTTCAATAAATTTTAATTTTTGAATCTCTTTTTATGATGTAAAAAAGTGCTAAAATTATATTAATGAGAGAATAATCTTTATAGTTATAAGTAATATTGACATCTTATAATTATTGAATCTCTTCCGTGGTTCTTGTTTGTTTTTTTCCTCTTTTTTAGCTTTCCCATTCATCAAAAATATTTCCGTGATAATTAGGGATGACAAATATACCCGTACTCGCGGTAATACCCGAACCCGTCCCGACTTTGACGGGAAATACCTGGTTTGACCGGGTACGGGTACGGGTACGAGTAAAACCCGATATATTAAATCGGGTACGGGTACGAGTACGAGTATGTACTTATCCGTCCCGTATCCGTACCTGTCCCCGTTCTCATTTTTAATTTAATATTCACTTTCAATTTAATTATATTAAAAAATTTAATATTTTTTATGTGTGATTATTTATTATAATATGAGATAAAGAAATAACCTAATTATAATTATAATATAATGAAAAAAATAATTTAAAAATATCATTTTTTTACAAAAAATAAAAAATAAAAAAATTGTCGGGTACGGGTATACGCGATACCCGACAAGGACAGGGATGGAGATGAAAATCTATACCCGACGGGTATGGGGACGGGGATGGGGATGAGTTTAACTTGCGGGGACGGGAACGGGGATCATGAAACCCGTACCCGCCCCGCCTCGTTGCCATCCCTAGTGATAATGTTACCCCGTCTTATCAACACATCCTGTTACGATTTGTATTACATTTTTCATTTTTAAGTCTATTAAATTTAAGATAAATTTAAAATTAATATTTTTAATTATTATAACTTTTAAGAAAATTTATTAAATATTATCGTATAAAATTTACTTATTAGTATCATTAATAATAAAAATATTTCATTAAACTAAGCTAATAGTATATAATTATCTCAATCTATTACTTTTAAATATATTATTAGTGATATGAGAAATTAAAATAAAATTTTTAAAAACTATAACTTAAAAATAATAATTTTATATTTGAGAGAAAAAATAAATTTATCCTAAATTTGAAAATTTTAAAATATGTGTAATCCTTTTATATATATATTTTTTATATATTTTTTGTATATAGCTATGAAAGATGATTTATATAACATTACAAAAGATCCCTTTCATACAACAACGTACTAGCCATATAAAATCACATTCAAATAACGCATGGATATAACTAAAATGAAAGGTCAGTCAATAATACTTTTTCCTTATATTCTGTCTTGCTATGGGAATGACATTTAAACATGTGAAGTTTTCTAACCAATACATATCTACTCAAATGGCAATGATAAGATTTAGAGTAGTAGAGCCATATATAATGATGTACCAATTAACCAATTCTTGAAAAGAAAAACCTTTTTATGAAAAGGAGAAAAAAAATGCAAATACATAACAAGATACAAATACAGAATAACTCATACAGATGAATTCCAGAATACAATGTTAAACTGACATTTAAAGAGACAAATATCCGGATAGAAACGTATAGAAAAAATCACAGCTCATCGAAACAAATAAACAATGTGATCAGCCTTTTGTTTAAACAGAATAAATTACCTTTTGGATTTGGACTCATTTACAAATATTCTCTGATAGCTAGGTCATATAAAATAACAGTATTGACCAGCATAAAACTTGCAAGAACACGGATTTTAATTAAAAGCTCATTAAACTTTGTCAGAAACAAAATAAGGTGATTAAGTAAATCTTTTATTCAATTAGTTTAGTCCCGAGGTTTCTGGTATTCGATCTATCCGGTATAATATATACCGTACGTAGATGACCTACGTTTAGGTGATACTGAAAAAAAATTCTAAATCTTACATTAATTAGAGATTAAGTAATTAAAAGTATACAAGTGAAAAATAATTTTTATTTTATAAGTTAATTTTGTAGAGTCGAGTTAGGCTCAAATGCACCATTCTAAGATGATATCATATTTATTCTTAAAAGGGTCAATTATCCTAGATTATTAAAAAAGGTTCACCCACCATTTATCTATATACCAAGTCCAAACTCAAGTATTGGACATGAGGGAGTGTATTGAGAAAAATCTAAATCCAACATCGACTCGAGATTATACAATTAAATAAGAGTTAATCATCCATACACTGTTAGTGTAAAATTTTTTACACTGGCAACCAATCATATCTTTTAAATTATTTTATTTTATTTTTATTTTATTAAATAAGCAAGTGACATGACACTATTAAAAGATATGATTGGTTGCCAGTGTAAAAAAACTTTATACTAACAGTGTATAGGTGATTAACTCATTAAATAATATATAAGTGAAAAATAATTCTCACCTTACAAGCCAGTTTTGTAGGATTGAGATATTCTAAGATGGTATTAGATCTATCCTAGATCTTTTAGAAAAGGCTACCTATCCTAGATCATTAAAAAAGATCACCCACCATTTATTTACTTACCAAACTCAATAGTCTTAGACATGAGAGGATGTATTGAAAAAAACTCAATTAAATAGTATAGAAATAAAAAATAACTATCACCTTATAAGTCAATTTTGTAAGGATGAGACTAAAAGTCTCTCTTGATATTTGATATTTGAAGGATCTATGATCCTTATTTCCCCCAACAAAAGGTAATTAAATTTAAGCACACACAATAGATACATTAACATAGCTTTATTTAAAAGTGATACATGATTCATAACATGATGGCTGGCCAAGCAGTAATTTATTTAATACAAGCACAGCTAGCAGAGTGGTGCTTTTGACATAACCTGCCTAACAATAGCCACATGCAGTTGCATTTGTGGAATTATACATTAATTCAGTAGTAGCCTGGCCTAGAGTAGCATGGGTTGGTTCCATAATCAAACGTAGTCTCTTCGTAGACGACACGCTTCTCAGGTACATTATCGTACTCAACCACCTTAACCCTCTCAATCTCTGAAGGGTGATGCCTGTGCCCGTGGTGGTGGTTGGAACCACCAATCACATCCTCATAGACAATCTTCTCGTTGAAGCCACGATGATCACTGTGGTGGTGGTGCCCCAACCCACCTAACACTGGACTTTCTCTTGAGTACTCGATTATTGGCTCTCCTGAAACGCGGTTGTAGTTGTGGTATGCCATCTTGTTCAATCTCTCTCTTTATCACACCTCACACAAGCACATGTTTTAAACTGGTAGCTGGGGATATATATATACACCCAATTTGCCATGTTGTGCCCTTCTTTAATTTCGATGTTAACCTTGAATCTGATTCCCTAACTTCAAATCAAAACAGTAGTAGTATATTCGTCCTAAAATTTTGGTCCACAGTTCTTTCATGTTATGGCCACCACGTTAATAGTTCAAAAAAAAACACTAAAGAAATAAGTTCTATATTTTCGATAAAGTTTCCAATAAATACTAAGACAGAAATAAGTAAATAAAGATTTTCTCATGAATTAAAATTAGTTTGTGTGTAAATTAATTTTTATCATTTAATTTCTCAAAAACTGATTTTGTTTTTTGGTAGATATAACACAACACAACAAACGCAAACCAAAAATATTACAGCCGAAAAAAAGCATGGCATGAAGCGGAACTTGCAAAAAAAAAAAAAAAAAACTGATTTTTGTTTTTGCAGTTCGAATTATATAATAACTTATGCATATATAAATTAATTTTTATTTATAACAGAAGTTTAATTTATTTTATTCTTCTATTTTTCTAATATAAACATAAATCCATTCAAATATACGTTAATATTCTTAAGGAGTGATTATTAAAAAAATTTAGAATAGTGAATTTGAGTCTAACTCAACCTTACAAAATCGGTTTTTTAATTACCTATTTACCTTATCTCTGGTCATGTGGGACTTTGATTTTTTCCAATACACCCCCTCACGTCTAGCACTATTAGACTTGATATATGATTAAATGGCAGATGATCCATTTTTTAATGATCTAGAATTTGTGGGACTTGAGTTTTTTTTTTTTCAATACACCCCTTTATGTTCATGGTGCATATATCAATAGTAAGTGACTCATTTAGGGTGGATCTAGATGACTCTGATACCATCTTACAATAATGGATTTGAATCTAACTCAATTATATAAAATCAACTTTTTAATTGTCTACTAGATGTGAGATTTGAGTTTTTTCCAATGAAAATACTCAAAATATATTTATATATATATATAAAGTTTATTTTTAGAGATAAGATGCATTTTTAAGTTAGAACGTAATTAAAATGAGAATTTTTTTAAAGATTTTTTTTGTTGAAAGGAGAGGTACAATTATTTGGCGTATTTATTCTCTAAATGGTAAATGCCAGTATATATGCAAATTCTTTCCAAATTCCTGACGCGTATTGATTGCAATAATATCATGGGGACATCTACAGAATGGAATTCTAGGCACGTGCCTGTCACGAGTGGCCATGAGTGGCACAATGTATATACTATATACACAACCAAAAATAAAATTCACACAAGTTTGATACATTTTTAAGGATTTTACAAAATCGAATTGCCATCTACAAAACTATAATCCCCAGGCAAAGTTTATATAAGATATGTCACATAGCATTTAAGGTTCAATTAATATTGTGCATTGATTAGTTAATTATGTATTATACACGTAAATAGACCTCTATTTAATTATATGTTATAACATGAAGCGGGACAAATTAAATATTTTTATATGTTTCAATTAAATAAATTTTTTTAGCAATTTCAGTGACTACCATCATCATATTATTCACGTGTCACGTGTGGTTTGGCACATGAAATATTAGACTGAGTTAGAAATGATGACTCTAATTACAATTATTTGTTTGATTTGCACATTAGAAAAAAAAGGTTTAATTTTATGGAATTAAAAATAACTAAATTATATTATAATTAATGACTATATTTAAACTCCATGAATTAAAATTTGTTTACTCAATATAAAATTCAAAATTAATATTTTCTATTTTATTGTTATTATATTTGTTGCGTTGCTTAGTCTTGACAAATATATCTCAACTAGGGATGGATGTAAAAACTAGAAAATAAATAAGGGAGGGGAAAACATTAAAGTACACTAGCTAGCAATTAAGTTTCTAATGCATTATAAAAGTATTTTAAAAATAGATAACAAATATATAATATAACAAATATATAATTGTCAAACAGTTAAGGAAAAATAAATATAATAAGCGATATTGTAAGTATGAAAAATGAATGTTATGGTTTATTATATGAAAATAAATTAAAGAGGTCATACATTTTAAAGTGAATAGTTAAATAAAACAAATTATAAATAAACTATTAATTTAATATGGTTTGTCACAATTTAAATTTATAAATTACAAATTTATAGATATAGAAAGTTTGGTATTCATTAATAACTATACGAGGATTACCTAAATCTAGGCAATAAAATAAAATAATAAAAATAAGAGGCTTAATATATATATATATATAAGAAATTATGTGATGTATTAAGAAAGAGAATATTGAGAGAAGTCTTTAATCTCACGAGTGGAGAGTTAAGACACAAATTCAATATATAAGAATTGATAATTAGGTTAATAAACTGTAAAATTATGTATTTTATATCGTGTTAAATTTATACCCATATGTTTTAAAAGTAATTTTTTAGCTTCCACTCTTATCATCCCTTATCTCTTATTTCAATGGTCATATTATAGCAATCCATTTAGTTGCTATCAATAATTGTCATTAATAAATTAGGTTATATTTTTAATTTTTTTATATTTAGTTTTATTTTTATTTTTAGTCCTCAATTATGTAAAGTTCATAATTCTGATTTCTCTTGTTAAATATCTATTTATTAATAACTATAAAATTATAACATCAATTATGAATTGACATTAAATAGAAAATACGATAACTAAATTAAATACTATTCAACATAATTTTGAAAAGTAGATTGATTTGGCCATTTCGATTGATTTAAAAAGTCGTTTTGAAATGGATCGATAAAAAATTAATAGTATTGGTCCAAAATTATAAAAAAAAAATTTAGTCAAATTGATCTGAATAAGTCTAATTAAAAATATTTCACAAGTTACTAGTTCTCCATTAACAACATGCTTTTATTGTGCAAAGAAAGGTCATTATTCTTCAACATGCTATATTAGAAAGAATTTTAGCAATCTCAAGAATATGGTTTGGATTCCTAAAGGTTCTTCTGTTAATACTAACAATAAGGACCCAAAGAAAACTTGGGTACCAAAATCAATTCATGATGAAGATTTCAATCTCTTTGTAAAAAGATTCCACAAATTCCTAAAGAATAGAGGAAATAGAAGAAAGTTCAATTTCAACATAAAGAAGAAAGGAGAAGAATCTTCTTCAACCCCGAGATGCTATGAATGCAATCAACCGGGACATTTGAGATTAGAATGTCCGATCCTTAAAAGAAAAATGGAAAAATCCAACAAGAAAAGCTTCAAAGAAATGAAAGGGAAGAAAGCTTATATCACTTGGGAAGAAAATGACATGGATTCTACAAGTGACTCTGAAAATGAAGTTGTGAATTTGGGACTTATGGCCAAAGATTATGAAAGCGAAGAAGAGGTAACATCTTCTAACATTGATATCTCAATTTCATTTGATGAACTACAAGATGCATTCAATGATCTACATAAGGAATCTTTAAAACTTGCAAAACTAGTATCATCCTATAAGAAAACAATTTCAAATATGGAAAAGGAAATTACTAAATTAAATGAAGAATTAGATAGTCTTAAATTAGAGGTTAAAATGCTAAATTCCAAGAATGAAAATCATTGCTCTACAAGTAACTTGGAAATTACAAACATTACACATCCATGTACATCATGTCATGAATTTAAAGAAGAAATTAACAACTTAAAGAGTACTCTTTCAAAATTTACTAGTGGAGGAAATAATTTAGATATAATATTAGGAAAACAAAAATGTGTATTTGATAAGGAAGGATTAGGATATATTCCTCAAAAACAACAAAAGAAATACAAAAATTTCTTTGTTCCCACACAAGTTACTAGTTCTCCATTAACAACATGCTTTTATTGTGCAAAGAAAGGTCATTATTCTTCAACATGCTATATTAGAAAGAATTTTAGCAATCTCAAGAATATGGTTTGGATTCCTAAAGGTTCTTCTGTTAATACTAACAATAAGGACCCAAAGAAAACTTGGGTACCAAAATCAATTCATTCTTTGTCTTGAAGGATTCCAAAGACCAAACTTGGTATATTGATAGTGAATGTTCCAAGCATATGATAGGAGATACTTTAAAATTCACTGACATTACTCCTAATAAAAGTGGACAGACATGTAACCTATGGAGACAACAACAAAGGAAAAATACTTGGCATTGGAAGAATTGATACAAATTTCTCAACCTCCATAGAAATTGTCTTACTTATGAATGGTCTTAAACATAGTTTATCAAGTGTGAGTCAATTATGTGATAAAGGTTTCTCTATATCTTTTGATTCACAAAATTGTCTTGTTGAACATAAAAATGATGAACATGTTAAAATAATAGGATTTAGAGTAAACTATATATACAAGATAAAAAAAAAAAAATATGAGTCATTCTCAATGTCTTGTGAGTAAAAATGATGAATCATGGTTAATAATAATAATAATAATAATTATTATTATTATTACTATTAACATTATTATATCAATAATGATTTGATCACAATTTAACTACGATTGAATTATTGAGTCTTAAATCAGTATTTAGACCGATTCAATGATCTGATTTTAAAAATATTAATATTTTAGCTAAATTTTACTTTTAAATATTATTTTATTTTATTTTATCACTTTTAATTATTATATAAAAATGAAAATTAATAATAAAATTTGACCTAAATATTATTAAATATTAAATAGTATATCATTTATTTAATATGAAGTCATAATTAATGTTATAAATTTAATTATTAATGAATAGATAATAAAAAAACTAAAATTACAAAATTAAAAGTTTAAGTATCAAAATTATGAATGAAATATTATAAAAAAACTAAAAATAAAATTTAACCAACAGAATCGACATAGTTGTTATCAATTAATAATTGTCTTTAGAATAAAATATATTCCTAATTTCTTTCAAAGATATACATTTAATTACACTTTATTCTCTTCATATTTCAAAAAATATATATTTCATTTCCCGTAAAGATTAT